CACTACTACTCTCCCTACTCCACTACTACTCTCACTCCTCCTCCTCTCTCACTCCTCCACTACTACTCTCCCTCCTCCTCCTCTCCTGCTCGATCTTGGAGCGGATCGCGCTGGCCTCGCGGTCGATCCTGAAGGAGCACGGGGGCCGTCCCTCAGCCGCGCGGGCCTTGGGACGGAGCCGCTGCGCGCTCGCCCTCGGATTGCTCCTGGCAAACGCCTCCGTCGTGCGCTCGTGCGTCTTTGCGTGCTCCTCTCGCATACGCCCCTTCACGGCAAGGGCGTGGAACGAGTGGGGCAGCCTCGGGCGCGTCTCGGGCGCGTCTCGGGCGCGTCTCGGGCGCGTCTCGGGAGTGACGCAAGGGGTGCCTCGGGAGTGTCTCGGAGGCGTCTCTCGGAAGTGCCTCGGAAGTGTCTCGGAAACGTCCCTCACCTGGAACAAGTTGAGGTCGAGCCGGCTCGCAGCCTGCGTCCGCTCGATCTCGTACCGCGTGTCGGTCCGCTCCTGTTCACAGCCGCAGCTGTGAAGAGACGCCGTTCACACCAGGTGCCGCGTACCGCGCGTGTCGGTCCGCTCCTTGTCTCGCTCGTGCCTGAGAGGAACAGCGGCGGCGTCACGGAACCCCGACAACCCTTCGTTGCTACGTCCGTCCCGCCGCGCCGCAGACTGCGCCGCCCAGGCGAATCTCGGGGAATCTCGGGCCATCTCGGGGAGTCTCAGGCCATCCCGTCCAATCTCGGCCAATCTCGTCTCATCTCGATCTCGCGCCGCAGCTCCAGCCGCAACTTCTGGAGGTCGCTGCGCAGTCGCTCCTATATTGCTCACGGCGCCGCGGCTCGCGCAACGAAGCCACCCGGCGCAGCCCGCTTCGCTGCCGGAGGTCTCCATCTCCCTCTGAAGCGACGCGTGCTGGCTCTCGAGCGTCACCTGCAGGAAGGCAGTCCCGGGAGCGCTCAGACGAGGTTCGGGCACAGAGAGAAGGAGGTGCAGCCCTCGAGAGGTCCTCGAGCTTTGTGCGCGCGCTCTCGTGCCGCGTCTCCTGCTGCGACGTGATGAAGGTCAGCTCGGACCGTCCCACGTACTTTGCCTACGCGTTCCGAGAGGAGGAGAAAGAAGGCTCACGGACTGCGGCTGACTTGCTGAGACAGACGACAAGATTGCCTTGCCTTGGACCGAGACTCCTGCTCCGCCAGCGACCGCAGCAACAGCCGCGCCAGCACCTCGGCGGTCGGCGGAGGCAGGCCGCCCGCGCGTAGCTCGTGCACCATGCTGAGAGAGTCCAGCGGCGCCGCAGCCTTCCTCTTTGCGCCTTCCGCTTTCGTGCAGAGGCCGGCGGGGCGCAGCGCTTGCGGTAGCCTGCGCTGGTGCACAGCTCGGCGCGCGCATACGGAGGAGGCGGCTGCTCGCCACTTCGGCATCAGTGTTTTGAGCGGGCAGCTTCGGGCACCGATCGGTCCAATGCCAGTCTCCGCGCAGTCGGGCGACGGTCGGCTAGCTCGCGAGTAGAGGCCCCGCCCACCCAGGGTACCCCTCAAAAGACGACGAACTCGAACGTCGCGTTGACCCGCCCGCCGCCGTCGAGCCAAATCAGCACCGCCGCCTCCTCGCCTCGCCAAGCCGCTGCCACAACCTCCTCTGGCACCACCCCGCTGCTCGGCTCGGCCTCCGTGCCTCCCTCGCCGCTCGAAGCAGAGGCCGCGGCACTCGCACCCACCGCCGCGTCTCCGCCGCCTGCCTCGGCCGACGGTGCCTTGCTCCGGCTCGCAGCCACCTCCCCGAGATGCGTCCTGCGTCCTGAAGGCCTCGACGCACTCGGCGTGGCCCTTCTCCTTGGCCCAGTGCAGCGCCGTCTTGCCGAACACGCAGTTGATTGATGGGAAGGCGAAACACAGTCCGACCAACGACTGGGACACCAACGC